AAACGAAAACGCATTTCGGAATTTCGGTTGACATTTCATGAGTTAGCCCACCTACTGTATCTTCGAGTTGGCACAAATTTGGTGCGCAAGCTGGCCGTGGAAGCAAACATACACTAAGCCTAACCTCGAAGCGCGCCATTTGGAAAAAAAATGGACGAAGTCCTGTTTTTGTCAAATGAAAGCCGATGGTTCATGTCAACCGTCCAGGGTAACAAAAAAGATTCCAGCATGTTACAGCATTGCACACCCAAAACAGCAGGCAGGAACGGCGTGACGTGTGCGATCTGCATCAGGGACGACCTGCTGTTTGTCATCTGAACAGAAGGTCTTCGTTCCCGGTGTCGCAGTGCGAAGCCCGATTCGGCTGCTCAAGTAATTCGCCCGCACACGGAATCCGGTCACATGCTGGTTCTCGAGGCTCTCTGCATTCTTACTCTCCCGTTTAATTCGTCTAAAAGTGGAATTGGATGGGGCAACCCGATTGCGTAGCTGTTTTCTTTAAACTAGGTCTTCCATATGCGTAATGGTTTTGCAAATTGGTAACGCCTGTCTAGTGCAGGGGCCTACCCCACACAAGCTGTTCTTTTGACGCGCCTCTTCTAATCCCTTTTCTCCTCATGCCGCCTTTATCAAATCCGAATTATTTTCGTGTCTACTGATATGGTACGTCGCACATACCAATGACTGTCTCCTGGTCACGCCTGATGGCTTACTGCATTGCATTCACACGGGGATACTGAGCGCAGTTCAGTTGAAGACTGCTCACGCGGCCGGGAAAGGAACACTAATACTGCGCCAATTTTCCCACTCACTATCGATATCTCACGGATTGGAGAGGGATTGCTGAGTCCTGTCAATAGTACGCGAAGGACCTATTGTGTAAATGGCTTTGCGTTGGGGCCTACTGACTCCGCATCTTAACCAATAGTTTGTGCTCGTGGGGGGCGGAGAGACTTTCTGCGGGTCCTATGCTTACAGTAGGTGGGCTAACTCATGAAATGTCATCCGAAATTCCGGAATGCGTCCTTGTTTCAAAAAGATTCATTAAGCAGGGTTAAAAAACTAGTTAGCCTGTAATACAAGTCTATGATATTTCAGTTACCTCAGGATGCCGGCTTTCGAATGAACTTCCTTCCGGTTGCATGCAAAAGTACACTCTGTAAAAAATGACTACTTAAATGGCATGATTTTTTTCATTGACTTTCGGTGCCCCCAAATGTCCGATTATATTTCATGGAAAACATGCATAAAAATATTCATTCCTTTGTCCTTTCGGTAGACAGTTACGTCTTTTTCCAATCTTATACTCCAAGGTGGGATATAATTCAGTTTTCAAAAACATTTCCAATTCCTGAATAATTTTGAACTCGCTCTACCATTACACTTGGAATCAGGGTTTCCTAACTACAAGCCGTATATTTTCCGCGTACCGAAAACCCTACATTCCTTTACGGCATTAAAAGGAGACTATATGGGTTTCATAAAATTTGGCAGTGGATTTGATCTATATTGTTAACTTCACAAGCCACGTTGGTAAATGCAGTGACCTGACGATTTATTAACGGCCATTTCACGGTATTTAAAAGTTCCACAATTAGAAACTTTTTTAAAGCCTAATTATATCCCACCTTAGAGTATAAAATTGGAAGAAGACGTAACTGTCTACCAAAAGGGCAGAAGAATGAATATTTTTATGCATGTTTTTCATACAATATCATTGGACATTTAGGGGCATCGAAAATCAATGAGAACAAGTCATGCTATCTAAGTAGTCATTTTTTACAGAGTGTACTTTTGCATGCAGCCGGAAGGAAGTTCATTCGAAAGCCAGCATCCTGAGGTAACTGAAATACAATAAACTTATGTTGCCGGCTAATTAGTTTTTCAACCCTGCTTAATGAATCTTTTTGAAACAAGGACGCATTTCGGAATTTCGGATGACATTTCATGAGTTAGCCCACTTACCCTATAGCAACTTTAAAGGAGATGCAAGGAGCTGCGTGCACGGCTAGTCGAAAACCCACGCAGGCGTGCCTCGAACCTCGGATTTGCCGGATATCGGACGACGGAGCACGAACAGGGCAGGGAACCTGCAAGTCATAAACGACGTCATATATGACGAGGCGTCGTATGTCAGTTGACTTATTCTTCTGAAGTAGTCGATCCCAGCAGAGAAGAAGTACCCAATTTGAACACAGTTATTCGTTCTCCTCTTGAAAAATAGATAGAGAGGAGGACATCAGAGGTAAGCAAAGCGAAAACCCTATGCGAATACAGAAAGAAGGAGGCAACTGATTTGCAAATGAGAAAGATCAGGTGCATCAGTCGTAGTCCGACGTAGAGCGCGTATAATGCAGGCATCAATTTCAACATCAGCAAGAATGAAAACTGGGAAGAAAGATGGGAAGTTGAAATTTTCCAGTCGTCGTAGCTATATGTTGATATGAATCCTCGATGACGGTAATTTCGCGCGCATATGTATTTTAAGGCGTGTTTCATCAGCAACAATTGCCATTTCGTGGGCAAGGTAAGTTACGGTGTAACACGCCGACCTACTTGTAGAAAATAAGTAGCAATAGATGGACATAGATTCCAAAGGGTTGGTTGTGTTTCAGTCTTATCAAAGAAAAGGCATATAAACTTTTAAGAGACCCAGGGACGGAACTACGTAGTTGAGGAAACTAGTATTCGTAAGACACCACGAATCAAACCCTCCGGTGAGACCAATCTTCACATAGAAATCATTGTCAACTCTAAGGAATGAACCGCATAGGAAGTCCGGCCAAACGAAGCGGAAGTGGAGAGTAAAAAAGCTTCCAAGCTCAATCCCAGCGGGAAGGTCCGAGGTCGCATAACATCTGTGACATTGGAGATATAAGACTCGAATTGCCTGGGCAAATTAATCAGCCTTTAGCTTGCGAAAATGCGGCGGAAACCATTCCGAGTGCTCCAAATGCTTCTTAGTGCAAAGGTTAAAAAAGACTGTAGAGTTGGGTTTCAAGGATGAATACACAGACTTTCTAGAAAGTCATGTCGCAGCGTGGCTTAGTTATTTTACGGGGTTGGTTCAGAATCTTGTTATTCGAAAACTGAAACTAATTCCACCAACGTGACAAAGGCGGTTAAGGGGGTTTGAACAACAAGACAGAATAGGTGGGAGGGAGGACGAAGCTCCGACTTTGCAATGGACAATCGGCACAGATCAGACGATTCTTTATAGGCAACTCAAGAAAATAACAGATCAAACTGATCCGATCATTCCTCAACTATGCTCTAATTAGAGTGCACACAGCCCTGACACAGAATCAGCGGTTGTGCGAAAAGTGCACACATTAAGACTATACTTTGCTCATACGAGTGTGTAAAAGCTAGTTAAAATGTTCAATGAACCAATAAATATTCTCTCGCAAACACTGACGTGACTCACTGAGAATGCACGAAGTATAAAACCTGTGAACATATTAGTTATTAGACAGTAATAAGACGTAAGAAAATTGATAAAAGTGAAATGATAGCAATCTGTTACAAACAAGACGTAGATGGTCCCGCAGCAGACGGCGGTGACGTGAGGAAATGGAGGTTCCATTACGCGTGCATTTAAGAAGATCCACCGCCGTGCCCTCTGTAAGGGGCCGCGCATGATATCCGAACCGAATTGCGTGGCGGCACGCCTGGACGCAGGCCCACACCACGCCAGCTGCTAAATCCAAATCCCCACATAAGATGGCTGGCCAGCTTAGGAAGTGGTCTGGTGCCTGGAAGAAGGAAAAGACGTTAAGGTCGACCCTGGGAACTGTGTCCTCACGGCACCTAACAGCATATTCATCCCTATGGACATTCTGACGCGCATTTAAACTGCTACGGTGCGCCAAAATCTGTGACTTGGAAGGCTACCAACTGACGGTATAGCTTGATCCTCCTCTCAGAACGGAAAGTCAGACTGAGCGGCTTCCTCTTACTGTGGCTTCTATGGCACTTCCACCCAGTCCGGATCCGAGCCCAATCCGGCTTCCGGTCTTCTTGACTCTGTCATAACACCCCAGCTCAGGTGTGTGAGGAGGATAGAGTGCGACAGATACAGTGCAAGTCCACGATCATTGTAACTAACCCACGCGCAAGTTATCGTGCCTGCTCCCACAATTCTGTCGTTCGTGACGGTCGCGCTTGCATTATAACAAGATCGGAAAAGTATAACCTTTATTCCGTAAGAAGAGCATGTAACGTCACTAACCGCCCCTCTCCCTTCTTTCCACTCTCCGCGCATGGAGCCTAATTATGGGCGACCAGTACTTTCATTTCTTTCGTATGTCATTCTTTAACTGCTGGATGATCTCGAGCTGGCCGAAACGCACCTCATCATTCAGGCGGACCAAACCATAGCGCCTGTTGCTGCCAAATACGGTAGATATAAAGGCTAATTAAGGTCTGACTGTTGTGAAAGTATCCGTTTTTCGAAACGTCACCTTAACTCTGGATTGTACGCAAAGGGCAAACGGCTGTCTGTCAGTCGAAAAAGGACGAACGTAAACGGCTACTCTATAATTACAAGTAGCATAGATATATGCAACTTCGGTGGCTGATTGTGGGAGTGTGCGGCTGGTACTTGGGAAGCTTGACACACGTCGAGTCTACACTTAAACGAATCCACACAGGAAGAGAGTACAACATCAGTAGGCAGGGCATTCCACGCTGCAGCCACTTTGCTGCTGACAGAACCCAGCAGGCGAGTTCTAGGAAGTAGTTCAGGAGACGAAGATGGAATCGCAGGAGCAAGAAATTTACTAGCCTGACGTTCCGGTCTCTCACTCGAACGCATCATCAGAGATAGTCGCAGATAAGGGTAATGGTGGCACAAGAGGTGCAGTATTTATTGCACGTGGCTGCCGTGGGACCATATGCGTACTGTAATTAACAGCTCTCGCAATCACCGCTGGGGTCGTAATTGATGCGATAGTGGCTTGTCAGTCCGCGTCCGAGTCGACATCTCGAAACTTTAAAATATGGCCGGGTCCAGTCGAATGTACGTACGTGAAAAACGTCTCGGAAGCCGTCGGTCCTCTTCTCACTCCATTTTGAGTTGGGAGTGCGCACAGGCCGGAGGAAATCATCAGGCGCCAAGTCATGAGGCCGAAAGACCCACTGCCACGGCAGAAAACGTCTGGAGTCGTTTACCGGATCTGGTGCAGTTGCGGACAAAGCAACAACGTCAGAGAAACTGGGAGATTACTCCGGACACGAATTGCCGAACACGCAGCAGCAATGAGCGGGGCAACAATGGTTATCCCAGACATTTCATCCAGAGAAGCAGACTTTGGGCGCCCAGACAACGGCCAAATGGGCAGCAACCCGAAGTCTGGAGGGCCATTCCTTACGTTAAAGGGGTCTCTGAAGCGGTCTCGCGACTGTTACATCCCACCAGAGTAGGCATAGCCCATCGACCACAAGCAACAATTCGACGTCGCCTAATGCAGCCTAAGGATCCATTGCCACCCGCTGAAACCTCAGCAGTCATCTACAAAATAAATTGCAATGAGGGCGACTGCAACTATGTGGGCGAAACCGGGCGGAAGTTGCAAACTCGCCTACAAGAACACAAATCGGCCACTCGGAGGTTAGACTCTAACTCTCAACTAGCAACACACGTTGCAGAAACGGGGCATACTTTTGACCTCCAGAGGGCTACCATCTTAGGCCGAGGCAACACAAAAACAGAACGGCTAACTCTCGAGGCGTGGTTCTCCGATGCCCACTCTATCAACAGGCATCTGGACCTTCCTGCAGCTTACAAAGTCCTACGTCATCACAATCGTAAAGCTCAGGACCAACCAACCACATCGGACTTAAGAAGGCCGTACGGAGACAGCCCGACGGCGAGTTTACTCGGTGAGGAAGAGGAAGAACCGCCAGACCGACCGCCCGACAGAGGCTCACTCAGCTCCCCTCGACGGAGTGGTGACTCACAAAGCACACAGGCAAAACGCCCGCCAACCATCTCCCGAGAGGCCGAGGCAGAGAGAGGAGGAAAAATCGATCAGCATGAGGCCGGCCAGCACAACTGCCACTTTAAATTTCTGATCGATAAAGTGCATTTTACGCTTTGACAATGAAGAGCCGACCCAGCTCTTTGAAACGTCAGCTCTTAAATAAACCTCTTCCGGAGAGCCTTTCTTCGTCTTCAAATAATCCCAGTGACAGTGAGCCAATTTTCTAGCAATCGTCACACCAGTATCCAGTACGGATGACGAAATCGCGGGCATCAACGACTCGGACGCGGACTAGCGAGCCATCATCGCTTCAATTATTACCCCTAGCGGTGATTGCAAGAGCTGTTAATTGTAGTACGCGTATGGTCCCACGGCAGCCACGTGCTACAATTACTGCACTCCTTGTTCCACCATTGCCCTTATCTGAGACTGTCTGTGATGATGGGTTCGAGTGAGAATCCGGAACATCAGGCTAGTGATTTTCTTGTTCCAACGATTGCATCTTCCACTCTGTTACTGAAAAAAATTTTGTCCTTTGAACCTTACTTTACGTGCGTGTATTTTAAGAGGATAACCGTGCAATGTGGGTGTGTTTGCCTGAGTGAGAAATGCTAAGAACAAAACAACTGTCAAAGTCATTCATATTGCGGAAGATTAATATTAATTTACCCCGTAGTTACCCGTAGGAAAGGAGAAACAGGTTGAGAGTGGACAGTCTGCTTTCATAGGGCGGTTCTTCCAAACCCTCTGTCATTTCTGTGGCTCGTCTCTGGACCTGCTCCAAGACGGTACAGTACTTGCTAGTTCAAGGTCCCCATACCTGTGTGGCGTATTTTAGGCACAGTCCTACGAAAGTTCCAAGTATTTTGGAAAAGCTGTCTTTGTAAAATCCCGTAATGGATCGCCTAATGAGTTGCAATTTAGACATGGCCGTCTTCTTGCAGTTCAGTGTTGGTTTGAGTGAAGATGTAATCCACACACCCAAGTCCTTCTGACTGTCAGCTTGTTGCAGTGGTTTTCCGGGAAGAAAGTAAGTCCTGAGGCTGGAGGCTCTGAAGCTGCCGAGTTGGAGAAAGTTACACTTACTTACATTGAAGGCATAAGCCAGCGCTCCGGCCAGTCCTCGAGCCTGTTCAAGTTTGTTTGGAGGTGGTATCCGTCTGCCGCATTGTGAATAACTTTCCACAATTTTATGTCGTCAGCAAACAAGATGGTATCACAGTCTAGGTCCTGGACGCAGTCATTTATGAAAAGGAGGAATAGCGTGGCACCTAAGAGTGAGCCCTGTGGGACACCAATCACCACGCTTACCTCTGAGGACTGCTGGCGCCCGACTTGTACTTTTTGGAACCCTCCAGTCAAAAAGCTTTGGATTCATACGGGGAGGTTATGCTGTGCAGTCCCTGTAAGAGACGTTGATGAGGAAGGTTTTCAAAATCCCTTTTGGGTCTATGTAGATGAAATGCACCTTATTGCCTTCGTCGTGGGCTTTGGCCCAGCGTTTGAGTGAAAAGAGCGGCTACGTGAGACAGGACCTACGACGTAGAATGCCGTGTTATCAGTATCAGTGTATTTCGGGGAAAGTAAGTGTGTACCTTTGAAATCCCTATTGGTTACATGCAGAGGAAGTATATGGAGAAAATGGAAAGGAAGTAACATGACAGAAATACAAGGGGAGTAAAAAAACTGTACAGATGAACACAGAATTTCATGCGTTAACAGCATTTAGAGGCATATGAACTCGGTTTGTTGGCTAAATGCAGCAGACAACTGAAGCACACCTCAGATACAGGAAAAGAAACAAAAATTTTTTTAGTCTGTAGACATCGTGGTGAATGCGATCAGCGGTGTGCGACATTGCTCGAAATTAATAAATTACATAAACACGTGTTACTTGAATATTGGTAGTAGCATCGATATAACACTAAATTGTCAGTGTTGGTGATCGAGGTGGCTGTAGTCTGGCGTTACTGGGGTGCGCACTCCCATGTTGATCTAGCCTCCGTTTAAAAGTGTCTACGGCTCCCGACATAACAACATCCTCAGGCAAAGCACTCCAAACATCAACCACTCTGTCGTAAAAGAAGAACTTTCATGTGTCCAGCCGGGCACCAGTAGTTTGAGTGGATGGCCTCTCAGGTTAGTCGTAGTCGCCAACTCGAAGAAGTCTCCAAATTCGAAGCAGCAACCCTGATTGCGCACGATGCGGAAAGCTTGTATCAGTGCATCAAAAAATTAGTTCTCTGCTTATTTGCTCAGTCATTCAGTTGCGATTGGGCTTCATCCCTCCACTGCAGGTATAAACGAGGCTGTCGTTTTCACTGGCCATCTTCCGAATGCGGAGTGTAACCATGCTTATGATCTGTTGAATTTTGTTCGTGCGAAGCTTTTACCTTGATTGGATAAGTCTGCAAGATGTCCGACCCGCAAGAATACCATAGAATGTGCCCCCTGGTTCTTCCTGAATGTTCTGCCTGTGGTCTCCGTACAATTTTTATGTCAGTCAGCAGTCGCGATTTTAGTCCCATCGTTAAAGGCAGCTGGCACAGGATAAGGAAGAAATTTTCCGTGTCCTATCCAAGGATCTGTAATGCAGTCGCTTTCGACAGTTCTGACTGTCGGTGAAGAAATGTATTTTTAAATTAAAGAGTAATAATTTACAAATCTGGCCCTGCCTTCTTTTGAAGAATTCTCCATTCCCTAGGGCTGTAAAACTTTCCGAGACGCGGGGGAGCGGATTTTGTGCTGCAGGAATTTTCTGATGAAGTTTGCGACATTTCATGTGTTTTGCCATCTACTGCAAGTCTAAAAAGTTCGAGCTCATCAGTCCGACAGAGCTCGAAGAAGTATATCAGGATCTTGTCAAACGACTGTTAGATCTTTGGTTTCAGCTCACGCTGTCGAATGAAGGACTTTAGCGTGTGTATCAGGCCCAGGCCATCGAGTTGTGAGAGCCCAAACCTCACCTGAGCGAGACTGCCATAAAGGATGCCCTAAGAGGGAGCCGTTGTAGGCTGGATCATAGTCCCGTAAGCGGCCGGAATTATCCCCTCAGTTGGCCGACCTTCAAGCCACGACTCTTAGCACACTGTGATAAATTAAATAGCCTCAAATATTTAATAGCAAGGGATGCGCTGATCTGCTGCCAGCGAGTATTATCATATTCGTCTCGGTGGCTGATGCGTATACTTGCACCTAAGTGAAATAATGAAGAATTATTAACTTTGTTTATTTGCATGGCAATTGCGCTGTAGTATGTCTAAAGAAGGAAATGAATTAGCTGAGGGGGATTCATTTTTGTTCAGAAATGTGGACTAGTGATTTCAAGCACCCAACTTTCGAGGCAGGAGATTAGTATGCACCGTACTCATTACATGGCGCATTTTGTCTGACACGTAGGTGGCCTATGCCGACGGTGGGGGCGAATCGGACCCCGTTTCATCCCCAGCCTAGTTGACCGTGGTAAAAATTGGTGGCTCCGACTGTTTCTACGCCGTCATTGTCACCAGTTCGGTAGACTCAAAAAAAAACCGGATAAGGGGGAGGGGGGAGGGCAGTTTATGTGGCAGTTGACTGGGCAGTCGGTAGACATCCAACCTTCTCGAACCCGTCTTGATGAGTGATCATCACCTCGACCCACAGTCTCAGCAGCTTCAAAGTTGAAGATGTGTCCCCTCTGCGCAGTGTGGGTTGCTACCTCAGAAATAATCTAACCATACCGGTCATTGCCATATTGGCTTCCGAGATTCAGCGTCTGCTCTAGAATCAGCATGTTGTAGACCATTTGCGCTTGTAATACTCTGCGTCATCGCCCGAACGTTCTGGAGGCAGACAAACGTTCTAGTTTCTGCACCTGGCTCCTGGGTATTTCGGTCGTTTCGTGACGGCACGGCTTGCTCAGGAATTTTGTTCTAAGTGACCGCTAACCTTTCAATAAAAACACCTGTCTTTGAACAGACGCATTCATTATCGATGATGAACCAATTTATCAACAGAATAGCGCTGATGAGAAGACGTTTAACGTATGAATGAAATCGAGATTACATTTGGCATTCCAACAGTAACAACATCAGCAGAAGAGGGAAATCACATTTATTTTCACGTTTGGTATATTAAGATCGCGTGCGTTCCTCCTATGCCTGGTGTCTAGAATTATTCCTAATCGAAATGGGTCACGAGTTTAACTTCGCATCCACCAAAATATTCGCCCACGCCGGAAATCATACAGGCCGGAAATTGATTGAAACCTGGGCCTCGGATAAGAACTCAGTCAATCGATTTATCGATCTGACGCCGGCGTACAGAGCCCTTCGCAGTCACCTCCAGTCTTGGGTCGTCGGTCGGTGATTGGTTTACATGCTCTATAACTGTCGCTTCTTCTGTTGCTGCTAACATCTCTGACGACGAACTCCTGCACGAGTTCGAAAGCTCAGAACAATAAACAAATGTTCCGGTGCTCGACCCCTCTTCTTCACTTATGCATACACCTGCAACTCGAAATGTCACCTTCATCCATAATTAAATCTAGTTTACTTCGGACATTATATATGCTGATAGAAACGAAGATGCGCGTCGCCGGACGTAAATGAGGAGAAGAGACGATATCGGGAACCATAGGTGCATTGGCCCGGCGCTTCAAAAGCAAACAAGCATTTTGATATGTCATGTTAATATACTACTGCCTATTTGCTAGTAGCAAGTTAATGATTCGTTATTATTTCATTATGACGCAAGTGCGCGCACCAGTCACCGAGACGAATATGATAATGCATTCGCTCTAGGGACTTAACTCCACGTTCACGGATTAATTTCGAATGCAGCTACAAAGCGCGGTACCAGAAACCAGACAGGTGATGGCGGTAGACCCAGTGCTGAGTCGGACCCTCTCAGATGCGTCGTTCTGTGGCACAGGTTCGGTAACCGCGTGTCTGAGTTTTCGCCTACTGCCTGCACTGAACGCACGCTAAGTCAATCTCAGCAGCGAAAGGGCGTTTGCAGTCCTAATAGACAGGAATGCAACTGCAACTTTCTACATACAGGCCTGGCGATCGTGGTTGAAGAAAGATTATCAACGACCGGAAAGAGTACAGCGATGGCTACGAAAATGGTCAAGAATC